TAGGCCAATAGATTTTCAGCTCTTTGCGATTAATTTCTCGGGAAAAAAAGCAACTGCTTTCTCATCTACCCAGCAGCTGTCGCAAACATCGAAACGCCTTCAGTGTACTGTAGGCCTTCGGTGGGTGGCTTACGACCGTAGCGATAAGACTGGGGCGGTTTGCCATCGTGTGTTGAAGAATGCAGTGCAAAGTCATTCTGTGATATATGCCTAATCTGAGTGCAGCGCTCTGAGAGTTAAACGAGCAAAGGGGGGGGAGAAGAAAGGGATGTGGAAGGGAGCCAAATATATCAGGTCATTTAGCAGACAGGACATAAAGACCTCGCTTCTTTCAGTTTCCATAAAGAAAAAGAGCCTTCGCGTGATCACCCTCACAGTTAAGTCAACGATGCTTTCTGGCGGAATAGCAATGACAAACAAAAAGGCGAGAGATAGAAAGGGGAAACTTCTCACCTCAGCAGCAACCGCGAATGCCTCATCAGCAATCGGTCGCAGCTTGCAAGCCGTAATGGCCAGACCGACTCCTGGGAAGATGTAGGAATTGTTGCATTGACCAGGCTGGAAGGTCTTCTGGGAGCCACCCACGTTTACGGTGACCTTGCCAAAGGGTGAGCCGCTGGCGAAAACACAATTGCCCTAAGACCAAAACAGGCAAACAGGCTTATTGGGAATAAAGGGAGAAGAAAGAAAAAAGCAGAATATAGACGGTCAGGGCATATCGGAAGACAGGGAAACGGACCAAGCCTGCTAGTCTACCTACTGGCTACTGAGCGCATCAAAGGCTGACTAATAATAAAACAGCCTCTGATAAAATGCGGCTGTGACGTAGGTAGTTTCGGAACAGCAACAACTGTTTACGGACTGGCCACCGATTACAAGTTTAAATGCCCCAGGGTCCGATGAGTGTAGGATGACTCGCCGTTACACAAATTATTCCAACCAGAGTTTGGATACAGAATTGGACAGAAGCAATCATAACAACAATCCTTTAGTGCACAAACGTGGCCGGGCTAGGGCATTCACTGGACGGGTTAAAAATCACTATAGAGCCAGAAGGAAGAGTAGAAGAACAACGGCGTATCAGGGAGCAATTGACAAAAAATGTATCTTAAGAATTCTATCCTCCACTGCATAAGTACGCACCTACGACAGACAAACGGAAGAAAGACCCCAACGACCCGGTACTTAAATCCGTACATAAAGCATGTGTCCGAGGCAACAGAACAAGTTCCGAGAGTTAGGCATGGGCATCTTCCGGCAGCCACCATGCGTACCAGAACCAAGAAGATG